AATCCTGCTTTAAAATAAACACACATTAAAGCACAAGAATGGGGGATCACGTGCACTGCCCCGTATGTACATTGATGATCCCCCGAGTATGCATGTGAATGAAGTTGAAAATTTCATGGGGCATTGCGTGGAAGCCCGGCCGTGGTTTGACGTTGTCATAATAATGGTGAGTGATGAAGATGCCCGAGGGGTTCATGGGAAATGCCCAGAAGCCGTAGAGGTGGACCTCCTCACACATCTCTAAGGCAGCAGTCACGAGCATTAGGCCGCTGCTGAGCCGTTTGGCCCGAACACCCTGCACCGCCCAGAAGCGCTGTACGTTGAGCAGGTACTGTGGGTGGAAGAAGAACACACCTCTCTGGGAGTCGAAGTCATCCAGCATGTACTTGACTCTGAAAGAGACATCAGTGTTGCGGGTGTTGTAGAAGGCAGGAAGCACTACTGAGGAGTTCTCGTAATTCTGGAGGACTTCGTAAAATGGTCGCCGCCACTTCTCCAGCTTCTGAAATCTGCAGAGGAAATGAAACATGAAATAACAAAAGCCAAATGAGAAGAAGGCCTGAGGCAGAGACAGACTGAGAGGGAGAGATGCAGTAGCTATGATTTCTCACTCTGACCCATCTTTACAGTACCTCTCAGTAATAATACTTGGATTTATTGTCACCAGATCTGTTTTAGTACCGACATCAGCAGAGTACTTCTGGTTAATGGGTGGGATGTTGCACCTGCAGAAAAGAAAAGACAAGCCCACTGATAAAGGAGTTCAAATGTATTTTATATGACTCTGTCTAAGCATGTTGGTGAGACATAATGCAGAGCTGCACAATAATCATTTAATAGGTGTCCATGGGGCATTAGCAGACTAATGCTCCACTTATGAGCAGAAGCTGGTGCCTTATTTAACTTTTTCAGCACCCAAAAAATCCCAGAGCTGAACTGTAAGGAACTCATCTTGGCATTTTTACTATGTCCAAGATTTGTTTATTTGCAATTACAATATGAAGCTGATGATAACATTCTGCCAAGTATAATAATACAGTTTAATTCCCTCTAATTATTGTGTACAGTTATACTCAATAATCAAGTCAAAAGTGAGCAACATTAATTGTGATTATCAGTGTCCAGCTCTTACAAAACAAACACAGAAGGCTTATGTTCTGTATACCTAAACACAAAATCTGCTGAGTCAATTTCCTTTCCACATTTGCTGTTCTTGATGATACCGCCATTTCCTATAACAGCACATTTCTTGTACTGTGATTTGGAATACGGCATGTCCTGGATGAAGCAGACAGGTTTTGTTAATGTCAGATACAATGGCTCTTAAAATCAATCAGCTCAAATCACCACCAGGTTTAGAAGCATCAGAAAAAAGTGCAGTAAAAAAAGCCAATACTCGGGAAAACAGAAACACTTATAAACATGAAAAAGCTTATGTGTGATATGCATCAAGCAGGACATGCGCTCACATCTGGGAACATCTTGAAGACCTCAATGGTGATGGGGAGGATACCACTGGTGTCCACCTCATACCTCAGCTTGGTCCCTGCAGGAGTGTTCCTCTTGGTGGTGAACAGAAAGGAAGGAGCATTACAGCAGCGAGACAGAGACATCCTTCAGGAAGATACCAAAGCAAGATAAGAGTTAGATTCATTGTAGATATCTGCATGGCAGCATCAAGACCGAAACGAGTGTAGCCCTTGTGCTGTGTTGACATTGTCTTTATTTCCTCACTGAGGTCACTGTATGTGTAAAAAGAATAATAATTACAAAAACCACCTAATTTAAAACTCAGTATGACACAAATTTGGTTTGTACATTTAATAAAAGAGACAAAATACAGAAATGAGCATTATTATTACAGCAAATTAAAAATATTTCATTCTCTATGGACTAACATATTCCTTTAGGTTGCCAAAAAATTCACAAATCACACATAAAGAGACTATGCATGTTTTACAGTTTGAGTCTCTGAGACCTCAAACAAAAGTACTTGTCATTTTCTGTGACGGACATCTGAAATACTGTCAGTTCAAAATCATGCTGATAAGCAGTTTTTTAAATGGAGGTTGTTTTGAGCAGAACACTGGGATTAAAAGCAACAAATACTGAATAATGCTTACTTGAAGTTGCTGGTCTCCTCCTTGTTCTGCTCCCACCTACACACCTGCAGGTTTCGCCATCTTTCAAACAGCTCTGAGGTTTTCACCCTGGCAGACAGGCAGAGAATGTATGGAATGAGGGACACTGCTGATGCCACTGGTATCAGGAAATACAGTGGATTCATCAAGCATGTCTGTAAATAGCTGTCCTTGAACTGACATTTCCTTTGAGATGAGTGGGAGATTTGCTCTGGGAGGCAGAGAATCACCATCGCTTTGATTGTCTGGCAAAGTGTCAGCAGCTGTTCTCTGCCACAGCCAGAGTGGTTCACGGTTGTTCTTCGAGTACCCAGATAGCATTTGATAGTAAACTATGATAGTCTATGATAGTCTGTGACAAAAGGTCACAGGAAAACACAAGAGAAAAGATGCTACCTAAATTGCTTTTAGCATAACTTGCTCACTGAAGAGTGTAATGAAACTGGCTAATAATCTACATAATATAAATGATGGATGATGTGAAAATGTGTTATTTATAGTGTGCTGCAGTTAAGCTCAACAATAAAAGATGAGGGCAACAAATTTGCAGCTGCAAAATGATGGTGATGAAATGGCAGTCATTTGGGAAGATTTGTGTTTTTCCTTCAGTTTTCCATTTTGTGTACTGTGAGGAATTACATACTGACACTATACTGTATACACTTTTGTTCTCTGTTGTGTGAAGAAAGCACCTCATCCAGAGTTGAATAACTGAGGATCCTCTTAGGAGGTAAAGGGGGATGCACAAACCTCTTTCAAAGCAGCTTGCTGTCCCATTAAAACCATTAGATCTAAAAGCAATATTCCCATAATAGTTTCACCCTGATATGATTCCTTGACCATGAAAACTTACCCCTAGCATTTAGAATCACATTGATATCAGTATTGCTTTGAAAGCTATTAAAGGTAGTATTTCAGCAGTGGCAGTTTTCTTCAGGAGCCAGCTCTGTAACCTTTGGAGATAAGTCAAATCTGCTCGTACTCTGCTGAATCAGCAGAGTTTCAGCTAGATTTTGATCTTAGTTGCAAGTTTGTAGTTTTATTTGTTGTCTCACAGTAGCGAGTCTTCCTTGAGCCCTATAAATCTGAACATTCTGGGATAGTACTTGGATCCAGAATATACTTTGCTGTGTGGTAGATCTTATGTGGTTGTTATTGTGCACTTTTTGTCTGAACATTGTAGGCAGTGTTTAAGGAGTTACTGCAGAAGCAAAAACATATTGAAATAGGGCCCATCTCACAATGGTGAGGAATTCTTTACAAACCAGCCAAACCACAAATAAACACTGAGCTATTAAGGTTATTCACCACAGGCATTGGCTCTCATCAATAAACACTCACATTGTCAGGACTTTGACATCCATAATCTCCTGTCTGAGCTCCCTGCATGCAGTGGAGTTGTATTCAAAGGAGCCATCATAGTTTTCCAGATACCTGGAGGGATAGACACAGTCATCTTCTGCCTAAACCTTCCACAAAAGAATCAACAAAATTAACAACAAACTGCAGAAATCAAATGTTACATATAACAGTGTGTTGAAAGAGCAAAGCAAACATTTTATATTTATACATTTACACATGTCTGTGGCTTGACTGGAATATCAGAGTAGCATTGTGGGATGAGAAATGACATGATTTTAGGACAGGAACATACTGTTTACTGGACACTGGCACCAGATTCTGTTACATCTTAGTCTAAACCAATATTGGACACTAACTGAAGAACAATAATGCCTGTCACATTTTCACCTATTTAATAGTTTATGAAGGGAACTCACGTGATTTAATACTGTGCTGTACAATACTGTAGAAGAGAAACAAACAGGGAATGACTCCAGCGAGTAGCTTGTTAAAATGGTGGATTAGATAGCATCTGGTGAGTATGAGAATGTCTGTGCTTTTATGTGAGGCACTGCAATATATTTTAAACATTTATTAAACTAACTGCATGAAAGTAATACAGTAGGTCAGCTGTCCTGGCTGCAGTAACGTGATTTTAACTGCTGGTACATAAACAGCTACACATATGCACTTGCAAACAGGTAAAGCTTTTCAACTAGAGCTAAAGGGCTTTGGGAATTTATTGTACACAAATAAAACAATCATTACATTGAAATGGCAACATTAAACCAAAAGCACACAAACATAATGTCTTCACTGTGGTGGTGTGACTGTGTTTTGGTGGATTACACACAATGGTTCTGCAGGGAAAGTTGAAAGGATCCATACTTGTAAAATTAAAAGTGCCAATAAGTTGCCATTTATCTGTGCAGTGGTACCTTTGTTGCGGCACAACACTGCATTAGCATGCAATCACAATGCAGTCTGGCTGTGTGTGTGCATGTGTGTTGGTTTTGGGATGGGGTGGGGTTGGTTAGAATGGAGGCAGGAAAGGAGGGAAGAAGAAAACCACCAGTGTTATTTGTTCCTTTGTTTATAAGTTGCAATAATCATATTGGTAAGTGGACCAGGAATTTTAAAAAGCAGCAAATCAAAAGTTTCTAACTGTACTTTGCTGAAAAGGTTCTGGAAGAGATAGATGTGAGTGTGACATATAACTTACTTGATTTGCTCAGCGTGTGATTCTTTGTGATCGCTAGGTAAGACATTCCTCCTCTAACAAATGACAAGTTTAATCTATAAACAATGAAACACACCTTTTCTCATTTCATTACAATTGGGAGTTTTGCTGCTACAGCCTGACATGGTTTGGTACAACCAGTCACATATATTAGCTATGGACCTGTTAGATAGATACGCTCTAAATGACATCAGTGCATTATGTTCACTTATTTAATGACTTTTTCTACTTGTTCAATTTTTTTTCCAGGCCACTTGTGTCTAAACTCTACACAGATTAAATTAATTTTGTGTCTCCAGTTGATTTAAACCAAGTGCTTACTTGGAGCGCAATGAAAGTCAAGTGTCTACTGTAAAATTACAACAGGCAGGTGTGAAGCTGAAGCAGAAGAATATCAAAAGACAAGACTGAAGATAAACAGCTGAGAATTATTTAAGATCTGCGGCAGGAAACTTAAATACATAGAATGGAAAAAATGGGACCTTAGCTACTATACAGTAATTAGACTTTTCTGTTTTATTAAAATCAACAATATGTACTCTACTCATTGTTTAAAAAGATACCCCATGTGAGGTATATTTGAATCTTCGTAAGCTCTAATATTTTTAAAATGTACATGTCAAGTGCTTAAGGGAAGGCGAGGGGATTTAATGCCAAAATGGCAGCAATTGCAATGTAGATTTGTTAGAATGAATGACAGGTTTTGTTAGATAAATTAAATGGAGTGTGGCATTTTGAAGGATGGATAAAATTGCAACACATTACCTGTGGCTGTGGAGGTAAATATAGTGAGTTCAACCAAAATGAATAGGGAAAATAACAGAACACAATGAGCATTACAGTGGAGGAATGCATTAAAGGAACAAGATGCTGGGATGAAACTGTACAAATAAGGAACGATAAAACTGGTTGTCTACATCCACCTGATGATGCTGTGTGTTTCTAAGGCTTTACTGACAGGAGCGTCTGTCTTATATGACATGTCTGACACTTTGAACAGGGGTATTCTTGCTTGTTTTAGCTAAGATGACCTTTGCAAGTGTTGTGTTCAAGTCTAAAAGTAAGCTAGCAATTCACTATGATGAGATGGATTTCATCTCGTATGGCATTGTAGGTTAACCACAGAATGCTGGTTCAAAACCAATATAGCATGGCAAAAACTAACCAGCATTGTACCACAAATACTAACATCAGCAAGGATTTGGAGCTTTTGGGGGGTTGGGGGGAATCTGGCACATTCCTGTCTTCTTGTAACAAGGAAAGTAAAATGGAAAACGGAGTTAATCCAGGTCGCAGAGAGAGACAATGCAGATGTGAGAAGGGGAGATAGAGGAGAGCAGAGAGAAGTGTCTACACTATGTATATGGCATACACACAGAGCTGTGCAGAACACATGAGAACAACAAGGACAAGGCATTTGGAAATGGGTGCTGGATGGGACACAGAGGTATGAGGAGAAGCCAATACATCAACAGGAGACCGTGGTTCAACCAGCTTCTGGAGGGGGAAGGGTGGGTTTAGGGATCTGAGGTCGAGGTGGACAGGATCAGACAACATGCAAGAGGAAATCTGAAGTGCAACCACCACTGAAAAATATGAGGTTATACCTTTCAGACTAATGAAAAAGAAAGAGGCATTCTTGGGTTTCTGTGAAAATACTAAAAATGCCTTCAAACCGGCCTACCTTTGAGAGCGTTTTTTTGTCTTCTTAATATCGGCTAGGCAGGGTGTGACTATTACGGAGATCTGTGAATCTGGCTGAATATTCTGACGGAAACATCTGTCAACATGCAGACAGGTTAAGTTAGAGTTAAATGTGTGATGACATTACCACCCTTGCTAACTTCCTACACCTGCAGATTTCAAAACAAGTAAAGAAAAAGAGTGTAAATGTGCTGTGGCTTGTGTTTTTTCTACAGCGTCTGAAGACGCTGGTGGGTCTAACAGCGGCCCAGTCCACACATGCAGGGCTGAGTCGTCACTATGATGGGTTTGAAATGTACGTTCTCTTTCACTATCTCTCTCACACTCTGTTTTCTCAGAGGTGTTGTGCAGTCAGTCACGTTGGAAAGGTACCTTTTCCTTCCATTTCTGGCAGGCTTCAGAGCTCCGTCATCCGAGAAATTAACAGGACCGGTCCAATTTCCTGTCTCGTCCCCTTTGAGTCGGCTAAACTGTTGCGCACTAGTAAGAAAATGAATCAGTTTATTTGGGATTTATTGTTCTTAATGTGCAAATGTCAAACACATACAATCAAGCCCATGTGTTCATTCACACACGCACACACACACACACACACACACACACACACACACACACACACACACACACACACATATATACATTGAGATGGACCAGCTTTTTGGCTCAAAAGAAAAAAAATAACAGTATGACACCAAACATGGTTAGAATGACTTTTTAGTTAATGACACCATGGTTTTAAATGGTTAATTTATGCTCTGCTAGGCTGTTGACACTATCCTGGGTGTGATTCAAACATTCACACTCTGCAATATTGGCCCGCATGAGTGTTAGGCTGGAAATTCATTATATTTAAGTCAGCAATTTAATAGAGGAAATGTAACTGTTTCTGCGTCTGTCAATGTACTTATGAGCAAGAGATGCCAAAAGACTTGACAAGTCAGTTTGCACCATCTTGTCAAATATTACTGATGAAGGGGATTGAAGAACAGTTTACTAGTCATTATCTTTAGTACTACTGTATTCAGCCTGTGAAAACAGTTGTTTTCTGTCATCTGTGGCTCTGGATGAGCTTTGTCAAGCCTGAGACAAGGCTGTATCTTTAAAACAGCTCACAGATATATAGCTTCAGTTTTAATAAGGTTAGCAATTTGAATGAGCTATATCAGACTTTGGATGCACTAGAGATGAACTGGCTGTTGGTTTTGCCCTGTTATGTGATTTGTTGACAAGAAGAATAATAGAGAATATCAGCTAATTTATTCTTTAAAATCTGCTGAGCATATCAAAAAACAGAAGGTGTTACAATTTGGGAACAAACTAATGCATAACATACATCCAAATACCTTTGGGTGCACAACTTCTCCTATTATCTGACTGATTATTATGCAAGAGTTCATTTCATGTCTGACTCATTTCTGTGAGTGCTCCGTGGGTGTTGTGCTACATTCAGTGGGGAGATTGAACCCAAAGAGCTTTTCTGGGTGCATTATGTGATAGAGCATTTATCACCAAGGACTCATGTCAATACTGATGTGCAGGCACATTTGGTTTCTCTAAGTGCCACTTCCACATTGCTCAGTAACGCACTGGAACTGGCTGCAGAACGAAACACACTAAAATCAGAGATTTTTGTCATTTGCTTTAGGACATGTGCCTGATAGAGGACAGCTCTCTTTTACACAGAAAGCTAATCAAAGCAGCATAATTTAGTCACTTATGGCATGCAATTATCTAATATAGATCTTAATTTTCTCCGAGGCACCGTATCCACTGAGGCCTGATTTCTATCTAAAATGCAGTGGGTTGATCAATAGCACATACAGTTTGTCCACCAGTGAAACCTCAGTCAATTTCATAGAGCTGCTTCTGACTGACAGATCAATTACATGTTAAACATTTTAAGCAATTCAGACAGTAATCCAAGGTAATGCTTGGACAAACAACAGACACAAAGTTGCTCTACATCATTAATGTGCCTTGATTCCTTGCCTTGAAAGCAGGAAGGACTTTTACACTAAAGGACTCTGGTTTTGGGGGTAGACCGTGCACACTGATCCAGACGACCATTTAAATCTTAATGTTCAAGGATATTTTCTCTAATGATTAATGGCTTTTTCAGATACGTAGGTGATCTGTCCTCAGTCGCTTTATTGTTTCTTCTCAGCAAGCAATCAGTTATGAGGGCTGTGATTTGGAAATTATATGTGCTGCTATGTGTTAGAATCAGTCAATCGGACCACAGTCCTATTGTACATTCCTTCTGCACAGTGATCTTGATGCCAATGACAACAAGCGAGGACTGAGCTGATTCATGTGACACCATAAGGTGATTAATGGTCAGATTTATCATGTACTACAATGTTCATAGTTTGACATTAACTCCTCATAAATTAAAAAGAAAGGCCTCTGCCTTTTGGTCATCTGGTATGGATGTGTATGAGAAGTGAGGTGGTGTAAGATTTATGACATCTAAAATATTACTCCCCAAGCACCCAGATGTTTCCTATGCAGTGTTTCTAGTTGAGACACCTTTTGATGTTTGCATTGTTTTTTCTGTGATGCTCTGAAGCACATGAGTGCACAATAAAGGCCCTGCCAACATACTCTCCGGCCTGAGGAAGAGGCTGGGTGTGGTTGAATCCAACGTCTGGTAGTTTTTGCATTGGAAAATATATGATAACATCTTCCCTTGCTCTGTTTCACACACATGCAAACACAGTCATGCCATCATTCCCTCTCAGTCTCTCCATCTCCTTCCTCTCTCTCCCCGACTTGCACTGAGGCACGTATGCAGACAGACTATACCAAAATGGCGTCCGCTCAGCCCACTGGTTTCTGTTGAGTGGCTTGTTCCCCGTCTCTCCTAGGCTGAGCCCTAGGAGCAAAGTAAGGGCACAGGCGAGGAAAGATGCATGTGTGTGTGTTGGGTCTGAATTCATGCATCTCACAGCAGAGGTCAGGATGCCATGAATTCACATTGAGTACCCAGCCGGGGTGGCAGGGAGAGGAGTTAGCTGTGGGGAGCTTTCAGATTGTAGCACATGTATGTTTGCTTTGAGGTAAGCATATATGTGCTGTCTGTAAGATATCTGGGGGTGGGGATACACTTTTCAGATGTTTCTTTTGTTTGAAGTGAGATTCTGGTGTTCATGAGATTCTTTAAAACCACTTAAAATCAAAAATCCCAGCTTCTCAGCATCTGCTCGTCTCACACTGAACTGTTTCTCTGGATGTAAAGGAAATGGGCCTACAGTTTTAATAGATAACTGGGTCTCTAAGTGCAAACGTAGACTACCAACCAGGTTTCGGTTCAACAATCTGTATCAGAAAATCAAAAACTGTTAGTGTTGCAGAGGTACAAAATATGGCTCAGCAGTGGCTATGTGTGCAGCCTGGGAAAAATGATTTATTTAAAAAGGGAGGAGCAATAATAAATACACATCATCTTTATCATGTTGCTATCTGTAATCATCATCAGCTCCAACAGTTTTCAGTCACATTATGATAATCTGATGCCTCTGTAAGATGTAGGCTTGGACCAGTCAAGAAGGCTGGAAAAGAAAAATCAAATAAAGATCTTTGGAAAAAGAAAGGGAAAACCATACACAGCTGGAGCACTGTGTATGGCATGAATATGATGCTTCAGTTTCAGAAAATATCAAAAAAATAAATCCAATGGAAACTTTTTCTATATGCCACTGGGAAAAAAAGATGGATGGGTAATTGCTATTGTTCTTTTCAGCCATTAAAGCTTATTTCCCCATGCATCCCGACAGTTAATCTACTGCCCAATTTGTTATCATTCATTGTTTATCTTTCACCATTCAGTCATTAAAAGTCGAGCAATACGCCTAACACAAAACGGCTATGAAAGCATGCTTCTAAAGACTGAATATTATGTTATTACTGCCTGTACAGCTGGCTTACAAACAGCAAATCCTGCGCCCTCATTACCTATTAGGCTACTAATGACGACCAAAATGAGATAGGCCAATCAGCACTTACCTCTTAATGTAGTTTTTTCCATAGAGAATCTGCTGCAACAGTGTGACGAGTCCAAATGCGCAAATAAATATGAAACAAAGCGATCTATTGCCGAGTATATCTTTACCCGACGACGGGTTGGAGTATGCCATTCTTCGGCGCAGCATCCAGGGCTGAAGGTGACACCCGGTTAGGTGTCTCTCTCCGCTGCATTCAGGATCAGGAGTGTAAGGGTCTTGAAACCGCTGAACGGGACATTGTCCATCACCATTGTATTTCTGTGCTCTCACACCATGGCATCACTGGTGTTGGTTGATAAGCATCGCAATGTACCGCCACAGTAGCCACTAAAATAAATTCTGTATGAAGGCCTATGTATATTTCGTAAACACACGGTTCAGAAAACACAAAATGTCATTAAAAAAATTCTTATTTCTATTGCATATAACGCTAGCCCACTCGTCTTGAAGAGGTGCAGTCGCTCGGTCGGAATCAAGCAATGCCGTTTATCCCCCGAAAAATCCGCACAAAAGGATATTTGTCCGGAATAAATCCCGAAATGTTGAATTATATGAAGTTAAGGAATCGATGACAGGTACATTTTATTCTTTAAATCATTGATGCGAGCTGCAACAGAAAAAACATTCCTCATGCTTCACCTCAAATCTGAGCAAAGCTACGTGACTGAAATATAAAAGGAGGAGGATGCGCCTTTTCTCGGCCTGGCAGCCGGGGGCGCTTCATTCAGATGCTCCTTGCTCAGTCAAAACCCAAGGGCACGGTCTCCTTTTCATGGATGCACCTGCGCACTCATGATATCCACGGCAGCTCAATTCACCTGACCTCCTAAGGGTAGTAAAAATCTGATAGAGGCTGTCACAAAAAACTGTAAAGATTAGGCTACAGCTTACTACACTAATGCACATGCAGTTTGTTTTTGCAGCCTATCACGTTATTGTGACTGGTTTTATGTATTTGCTTCTGGTTTCTCTCGTTTGAGTTTAGGTTCAAGTGACTTACAAAGGTTTTTCTGCTCTGCATTTATGGTAGACATCCTATTATGACAATATGACAACAGTAACTTGTCAGAGCCAAGAGGTTAATGAATCTTAGTACTGAAGCCGAGTGCCATTGAGTTCTGCTGTTGCACTTTGACAGCTGTTTGATCATATCATTCAGTCCATATGGTAGGAATTTGGGTTGCTTTTCCCATGTGTATTAACAACTTTACAATTAACAGTCATACAAAAGAAATGGCAAACCACCTCATACTTGTTCAGAACAATATCCTCTAGTTCTGAAGCAGGGTGCACAGTTGGTCAAGTCCTCTGTTGATAGGCTATAGTCTATTTTAAGATGCAATAACAAAATGAAGTTAAGGTGGAACAAGGATGGCTTTTTTGGTTATGCTTCAGCTCTACACCTCCACCTACCTTTTAAAAATACTTGATTGTAAATTTTGTTTTTCTTACATTACATCGCAAATGATTAGTAGCCTATTTTATGTTTATTTATTTATTTATTTGTAGTCTAATAGGCCTATGTGGTGTGGTTCAGTGTAACACTAAACTGTGTCCCAAATGTTCTTTTAAGATGGCAATTTTGATATTTTCTTCCTCACAAACAACTAAATTCCCACAAAAAGAATTAGCATGCATCCTAATAGTGGCAATAATTTATAGGGCTACTTTAAAGATGTTGTAAAAGTATTTTGCGGTTTTGTGATGCATGCTCAGCTTGACTATTTTGTCGTAATAAAAGAGTTAAGACGCCTCCTGTGGAAATAAAGGAGAACACTTACACGAGAACTAAATACAGGCATGGGCCACATTTCTGTGTTACACGGGGATCTACACGGAGGGAATTTGATGCAACGCAAGTTCCTCTTCCGGTCTCTTTCCACCTAGGCACTGGACGAAAATGGTAAGCTGCAACGCAGGAAGAGAGTAATCTATTAACATCTGTTCGGTATACTGTTTATCTGACACAAAGTGTGTATATTATGTTGTCGGATAAACATCGTCACCATTTGAATGGAACATTTTTAGATTAAGCTTGTCTTTTAATAAATGATGTTCCCCTCACATCTTATCAATTCATTTGCTCCCATTACCATTGAGGTTCAGTGCACATGACGGCGTTAATTTAACCAGGAGACAACCAGATAATGTTAAAAATTACCCTGAATAGCCCCAGTTGTAACCGTCAAGTGACTACTGATGAATCGGTGTCATTACGGGTGTAAAATGGCTAACTGGCTTTTCCAAACCGGGTAGCATCACCGGCTAGCCACCACGTAGCATTCGATGCTATTCTTTTAGTGAGTGTACACGCTGTTAGCATGCGACTGTGATAAATACAGACTTGTAATGCTTTTTTAGTAAACGAGACGTGGTATTTGTCCTCGGTGGCTATGAAGTAAAGCATATATCAGTAGTTTAGCCAACACTGAAGCCGTAATCAACGTTGTTACCCCTGGCAGTGCCACATGAGTCCCAGTCTTGTCAGTGATGCTTTTAAACACAAATGTCTGAACAAATGACTTTCTGTGATTCATTCTTCTTTACTGAGACAAGACTGTCCGACTTTAACATGTACTGTAGAGCTCGTACTGTAGAGCTCTGGGAATTGTTTCTGACCTCTCGTCTCCTTCCTCTCAGACGAAGGGGACATCATCTTTCGGCAAGCGCCGGAACAAGACGCACGCCCTGTGCCGTCGTTGTGGGGCCAAAGCCTACCACCTGCAGAAGTCCACCTGTGGCAAGTGTGGCTACCCTGAAAAGCGCAAGAGGAAATGTAAATCTAATGTATTTTTTGAAATTCATAACACTGCATGCCAGTGTCTTGTCTCTAAAGTGTGCATGTAAGCATGTGGCAGAATGACTTTCATGCTTTACAGTCATATATATATCCTGACTGGCACCATCATTCATTCTTTACTCGAGTAGAACATAGTCGTTATCTTAAATCCCAAATTATACATAGTGTATAGTGCAGCTTTACACTGATATGAAGTGTGAATGGCCAGGCTGCCCTGGTTTATAGACATTTGATGTGCTTTGCAGACAATTGGAGCGCTAAGGCCAAGAGGAGGAACACCACTGGCACTGGCCGCCTGAGACACCTGAAGGTCGTCTACCGCAGATTCAGGTAACATGTTGAGACCTAATAGGCTCAGATCAAACAGAGCAGAACAAGCAGCATGTGTCTCTACATGTGCTCTCTCTTTTTCACTAAAGTGTTTCTTCATTGTATACAGAAGATGCTGTGTTTTTACTGCCTTGGCATTAGTAGTGCAGACAGCCAAGTGTTGTCGTGTTCTAATGCTATGTATTTATTACATGTTTACATAATTTGAAGGTCACAGTGAAAATTTGTTTGAAATCTTCGAAGACTGTTGAAGACACGATAAACAGGTTCTATGTAAAGCTGATCTTTAGTAAATTATTTAGATTGATGGAGCGGAACTGCAAACATCTGATCTAGTGCTGTGTTGACACATGCCAAGCAGAGGACATGAGCACCAGCCCTGCACCTTAATGTAAACACAAAAAAAGAAGCCAACATTTTGCATTTTTTCTCCATCTGGACGGTCGTATTGATGTTATATCATAGAATATGTGACATTGAACATAGATGTTAATAAAAATGTTAGATTATATTACTGGGATCATCGGCATTGCTGGTCTTACATCATGAAAGATGTGTTTTTAGGAAATGTGTATCAAAAAGAGGTGTAAACACTTTTAAATGTTTACAAAAACGAAATGTGCCATTACTGAACTGCTAGTAAAACACCACAGGTTTTTGCTGGGGGACTATAAACATGAAGCCACAGAGACCCAGTTTGCTTCATTATCGATGCTTCAGTTTTGATTTGCAGGCTGAGTTGGCACATTACAGTAGGCTCATTATGAAATGCAGCAGACTTGGCAGAGGAATGGCATTTGTGCTTTGCCAGAGACGATAGTGGGATTCTGTTAACAACTAGTCTGTAGTCCTGTTGTGTTACTTACCAGTGATGGTAGACATGTCTGAACAAATGAACTCAGGTGACATCAGAGTTTTTGTGAGGTTAGCATCTCATGGTAAGAAAAGATTGGTGATGTTCAGCTGGACTCACATGGGGGCAGACTTCTACTCATATGGGCTCCTTATTTAATTGGGTTTTAAATGGCTTCATTACTGAATCATCCTTGTTGCCAGTCATACTTTTGGCTTCACTATCACATCTGTAATGACAGTGACAGTAACACCTCGGCTATATGGCAGCTCAGATTGTGCCATAATGAAGTAAAAGCCAGGTGAATCTCCACTGAACCTCTTTGTACATGAGGTCTTTTTCAGGGCATATATTTGACATGTTGTGTCACAGCTGTAATTACTAAAAATAAAAATATCAACGTTTCTCCTGTGCCAGTTCCTGAGGCCATGGAGCAGTGCACACCGGTTCAGTGGAGTCAAGTCATCATTAATAGTATCAGTTATACCTGTGCTTTTCCTCATTTGAGTCCAAACATCTGTTTGGAAAAAGCCCATTTACTGTGATTGATGTCAGTAGAAACTTGTGATGCTCTTTAGGTGACTTTAAAACTGAAATGCCAATTTTTACGTACCAGAAACACCAGCACGCTTTGCATCATAACTTCATTTGTGCCAAGATGTCAGACTTGTTTATCTCACTGTCTAAACAGGAGAAATAAATATTTTTGCTTAAGAATTAATCACCAGCTCTAAACACTAACCTTTGCCATTTGGCCTTGGTGGTTTGGTAACCAGCCTGTATCTACCAGTAGAGTGTAAACCGTGTGATGAAATAAAGCTTTTATCGCATTTTTGTTGAATATCAAATACAATAACTTCTGTTTTGTTTGGTTTTTCCCATTTAGATTTACTTGAGTCAGATTTCTCCTGTTACACAACATGTCTAATCACTTTTTTGTTGTTGTTTCTCGTTGTCTAGAAATGGTTTTCGGGAAGGCACCACTCCCAAACCCAGACGTGCAGCAGTGGCTGCCTCCAGCTCATCCTAAAAGACACATTTTTGGTTAAATAAATGTGATGGTAAACAGAAGTGTGTCTTGTGTCTTCATCTTTGTCGGTGAAAAAGTTGGTCCTTTTTAGGACCAAAGCTGTTTTTAATGTGGCTGTGTTTTTTTTCCTGTTTATCATTTGGTTTACATTGTAGACTTGATGAAAAACGTGTACATCAGAGCACGTATACCAGAGGCTTTAGGTGTCAAAACTAACAAGTATAGTCAAAAATCAACTCTAGCAGCTAGTTGGTCTCAACAAAATCTTTAATGGACACATTATTTAGAACTGGGGGGGGGACTGGTTTTTTTAGATCTCCAAATGATATGGAAGACATTTTGCAGTCACACTTGATTTCCCAATCAGTTTAGTGTAGCGTTCTCACTTGTATTGCTCAGTGTATTTCATAGACACCAACATGTGTTCCTTCACGGACAGTGAATTTATTAATTTTACAGCAAATACCGTCTATTTGTACCATGTTTTTGTTGTCCAATATTTGGAACCAAACATCTTTAGAGATTTTTTCAGTCTAGTTTGGGGCAGTGTAAACATACACAAGTGTAAGGGATTGTGCAGAATGAGGAGAAAGGTGTGGTTCAGGGGAGCCATTGCTGGACAGGAGTCCTGCTGTTTTAGGTCCTCAGGTGAATTGTTTTCCAGCTGCTCAGACCCTCTGGCAGCACCTATCAGAGACAGTTTTAAGATAAATGGCAGTCTGCACCTTTAATGGCAGAGCAGCAGATTTGAAACATTAACAACAAAACAAGTTTAAATATTTAGAAGAGGCCAAACATTGGAATTTCTCAACTGAGATCTGGAGGGAGTCAGTTTATAAATGAATCAGAAGCTGGAGTTTTATGGTTGCAGCTGGGAAAGTCTGGAGGAGGTCGTCACAGTGAAGAAAGCCAGAAGTCAATAGAAATGTTTGGGTGGGAATTTGGATGTTCACTTGACAGAAGAGATGATTTATTCTGCAGAGGTGTGACAAAGATTGTAGTTTAAATCAGCAAGGAAGACAACATTTCCTGGAGAGACAGAGCTGTCTTTTGCTTTTGGGTGTAAGTAGGAAAATTCCTGTTGCATTATGCTGCTGATTCAACAGTAAAGCCTATGCCACTGAACTGCTAGACCATATCATGGCTGTGAGGGGGTTTCAGAGCAGGACCTGGCAGGTTTAACACCTACAGCCTCAGGCAACAGTGGAATAGTGTAGATTCAATACACAGATAAGCCAGCAACATTTCACAGCAGTCCTATTTCTCAACATACCACTTGGAGCGAGTGTAGGCATCTTCCTCTGTTCTGCTAAAGAAGTGACGGGCTCCTGTATGTAACTTTCTACTGTTGCTTTGCCAATTTAAAGTTGTACTTCTGCCAGTTTTACTGCAGCTTCTCTGTTTATTTGCTACGTTGTTTATAAAGTGGCTATGGATGTTGCTTTAATAGAAAAATTGCAATTTAAGAAGTTGAGTTTTCTAAACAATGTAAATAAAATGCTGTATTTAAATGTGTTTTTTCCCTTCAGTTGTAGGTTTAGTGCATACTTACACACAGGCTTTGTCATATTTTCATATACACTACTGTATGACTTCATGTTCATGGGTTGCAGTGAAATGGGGTAGTCCAACATAGAGCGGGTAGCATGTCAGCAGACTCTTAGTCTTGTCTGTTTGTGTGTGAGTGATTTCATGAACTGAAGTTCTTATTGTTGTCATATATAAGCCCAGTCCATGTGGGACAAGACACTGGACGTAAATTTGGATACTGCATATACAATTGCCGGACTAGTGCAATAAAAGGTTTAAAAAAAAGACTTTGGGTATGTTCCACAGCCAAATCTTCAGTACCTGCAACAGAAATCATAAATCACTGACAAAGACATTTACTGGAGCAGCCAGAATAAATATTAATTAAAGTGTCATAAACCATCATAGTTTATACAGCACAAAAAAAAGTTGGACTAACTTTCCATTTCTACTTCATCTGATATATATATTTTAAAGCCTATTGTATTGTCTTTGTATGCAATATGACAAATAGTTGTAGTAGTGGTAGTATAGTAGGATACAGAAGGCACCTGTAGAAGCTAAATATTATTTTTGGGTCCAAAAAGTTTTCACATAATTAAAACAAACAAACCTAAAGGGGTGAAGAAGACATGAAAAAAGATGAAGGTATGGCAAGATCTGAATATGGAAACACAGTAAAAACACAAATGCAACAGAATTCAACCAAGAGAGTGCACCAGCAGGGGGAGGTAAAAGTTGAAGCCCAATCTCAGCTGAAGTCACCGTTCCCACTTTCCCTTTCCCCATCTGAGGTAAAGACGCAGTGCCGCGACGCTGCAACACTCAGACACAAGATTAAACCTATCGGACTGCTGCAGCGACTCTGTCACTCTCACTGTCTCTCTGCTCACATCTGGATCTCCTCCTTACAGCTCTGAGCCAGTCTGCATCTCCAGATTAATGCACTTTTCTTTCGTTTGAGTTGGAATAAAAGTTACTGATCTGAGGCTGCTGTGATGAGATGTAAGTATGTATGATAGTCACTTTTGTGTGGCGGCTTTGTGCTTTACCTTTCTGCTCCTAAAACACAAATTGATTTCAAACTGTTGCTCAAGCCTCTGTTCTAGGATCAGTTTGTGCCCTCCTCTTGCTGCTACGGGAGCCTGCGTGTCAGGGTGATGAGGTTACCTCCAGCACAGGTATGTGAGGGGTCACTGCATATGAACAGCTCTAATATAAAGTGGTAATATACTGTAGATTACTTGTTAGGCTGCACATTTTTGCTAGGTCAGATTCAGGAAACATTCAGAAAAGTGTGAATGGGTGTTTTTGTTTTATTAGGTTTTCCTCTGCACATGGCTGGTTAAACATCCACCAGATAAACATTCCTTTATCCCAGACAATAAAGACAGGCCCTGGCAGGCCTGCTCCTGCAACATGAAGAACAGGCACTGTAAAAAAAAAAAGAAAAGAAAAAAATGATGTATTGTCGTGTTTGACATCTTATTTTTCTTCTGCAGCTCATTTTAATAAGAAAGACCTATTTTAGGATTTGCTCAATACGTATAAACTTGTTTCAAATTTCATACTGTGTGAAAGTGGATATGGGATTTTTTTTGCCTGAACAACCTTTTCCTGCGTGATCTGAGAAGATATGTAGCCTGGCTTGACTCCCACCCCCACTCCAACCCAAACCTACCCTCTCCACACCTCTTATATAAACAATAAGCCGTCCTGCCCTCAGGCCAGAATTAATGGCTCGCACACAGCTGAACAAAAGCTTCACCGCTTCATTCTTTTTCATGTGATTCTGTGCTGCCAGATCTCACGATTTCTAAACGAGGTGCTGAGTCATTGTTGAGGACACAGGACGCCCTGAATTCCTGAATTTTGAGACAAACTGATATCAGTTGCCAAACGTGCTACGTAAATTGTTGACTCAGTGACAGCGATTTATTTCCATTTAAATGTATGTGTAGTGCTATGGGGACATGTAAGATCAGTTTACCTCTTAAATGTGAGATTTGAACTTTAATTAACTTTTAAATCAGATAGTGTCCATGTGGTTTACAATGCAATCAGATGATGTTTCTGATCTGTTGAGTGTGCAGCAGCAACAAAAGCACAGGGAGAGACACGTTTCTACATGTGCAAGGCAGTGTCTATACAGTACATTGTAAAAAAGAAACAGGTGAGAAAACTGTCATTTCAAACTTAAGTAAAGTTTTGAGTAAGACAAACTAATTCCTCTAAGTTTAGGTTTTGAGTTCAACCAATTTAGAATTTTTGCTTCTATTAACATACAAGTTAGAGTAACATATTATTTTGCATTATCACAACTCAGAGTTTTATTCTGAAGTTAAATGAACTCAAATGAGCCTTGTCAACTTAAAGGTTTTTGTTAGTAAACTAAGTTTGGATTCTTTAGCAGTTTAATCAGGAATGTGTTATCTATCATAGCAGCTTTTCCTGCACTGAAAACACTTAAGATAAGCCTGTGATCGTGACATTATTAGTCCTGAAAACCACCACCAAGACTTGAGTGTGTTAAATATGAACAGTGCAGGATGTGCCTGGCACGGAGACCTTTCTTCATCACGGTTTTCAATGTGTTCATTTTGATTGTAAAGAAAACCTGCATAAAGAGAAACTGGATGACTTACAGTATGGAATTTTTTACATACAAAAAAGGGCAGTCTGGAGAATTTTAGCCACGAGGAAATGCACAGCGGGAAATATGCTAACAATGTAACAACAATGTATGTAATTAAATTAACGAGTTAACTAAACAATTATTGTACATTTAGTCAGTTGAACTCAGGATTTGAAGTTACACCAGGTTTCCTATTCTCCAGCTAAGGAAGAGAAGTTAGCAGAACATTCTGTAATGAATCACAGATTAAAATTTATCAGGACTCGTTCACTTTTGTCAAAGCAGCAGATGAGTTTGATTTGTTGGCACAATTAGATTTTTTTCTTTGAACTGCTGATTTTGAATTTAAGTTTCTAAGTCTTAACTAATAATATACGTGGCTGTTTTTACAGTTCTCTGCTTTTTCTCGGAAGCCTTTTACCGAAATGCATTATAGTTCATCACACTGTTCACATCACTGGCATATCTGTTATTATGAATTATGAACTCAGTTAGTCCTACAGTAAATCTTAGGGTGACAGAATGTCAAATCAAATTACATCAAATTTTATTTGTGTTGAATCACAACAAAAGTCATATCAGGACACTTTACAAAGTAAGGTCTAGACCTTACTGTTATCAATATTATTACATAGGGAAAACCCAACAAATCCCCCCTGAGCAGCACCTGGCAACAGTAGGGAGGAGAAACTCCCTTTAACGGAAGAAACCTCCAACAGACCCCGGCTCTTGGTGGGCGGCCTTCTACCTCGACCAGTTGGGGTGAGTGAATAGAGGAGACTCAGAGCATCATGAGGCCCCAAGCAGCCTAGGCCTATAGCAGCATAACTAAGGGAAGGCTCAGGGTCACCTGATCCAGCCCTAACTATAAGCTTTATCAAAAAGGAAAGTATTAAGTCTAATCTTAAAGGTAGAGAGGGTGTCCGCCTCCTGAACTAAGTTGGTTCCATAGGAGAGGAGCTTGATAGCTAAAGGCTCTGCCTCCCATTCTACTTCTGTGGACTCTAGGAACCACAAGTAAACCTGCACTCTGAGAGCGAAGTGCTCTGTTAGGATGATAAGGCTCTACGAGGTCTTTAAGATACGATGGAGCCTTGTCATTAAGGGCTTTGTATGTTAGGAGAAGGATTTTAAATTCTATTCTGAATTTTACAGGGAGCCAGTGGAGAGAAGCTAATATGGGAGAGATATGATCTCTCTTGCTAGTTCCTGTCAGTACTCTGGCTGCAGCATTTTGGATTAACTGGAGGCTTTTTAGGGAATTATTGGGACATCCTGATAGTAAAGAGTTACAGTAGTCCAGCCTGGAAGTAACAAATGCATGGACCAGTTTTTCAGCATCACTTTGAGACAGGATGCTCCTGATTTTTGCAATATTGCGCAGGTGAAAGAAGGCAGATCTAGAGACTTGGTTTATGTGTGATTTAAAGGACATATTCTGATCAAAGATGACTCCAAGGTTCCTCACAGTAGTACTGGAGGCAAGAGCTATGTCATCTAAAGTAACTATATGATTAGACAGCAGATTTCTAAGGTTTTCAGGCCCAAGCACAATAACTTCAGTTTTGTCAGAGTTTAGAAGTAAGAAGTTGCAGGTCATCCAGGCCTTTATGTCTTTAAGACATGCTTGAAGTTTGACCAGCTGACCTGATTCATTTGGCTTCATAGATAAATATAACTGAGTATCATCTGCATAGCAATGGAAATTTATGTTGTGCTTCCTGATAATATTGCCTAAAGGGAGCATGTATAAAGTGAAGAGAATTGGACCTAACACAGAGCCCTGTGGAACGCCGTGACTAACTTCAGTTTGTGTGGAACATTCGTCATTAACATGAACAAATTGAAATCTTTCTGATAAATAAGATTTGAACCAACTTAGCGCAGTTCCTTTAATCCCAATAACATGTTCAAGTCTCTGCAGTAAGATGCTGTGATCAATGGTGTCAAAAGCAGCACTGAGATCTAAGAGGACAAGTATGGAGACAAGTCCTTTGTCCGAGGCTAGGAGAAGATCATTGGTGACTTTCACCAATGCGGTTTCTGTACTATGATGGACTCTAAATCCTGACTGAAAATCCTCAAACAAATCATTCTTGTGCAAGTGGTCACATAACTGCTTTGCAACAGCTTTTTCAAGGATTTTGGAAATAAATGGGAGATTGGATATTGGTCTATAATTAGCTAGGACACCTGGGTCAAGAGTAGGCTTTTTGAGTAGAGGTTTAATTACTGCAAGTTTAAAAGCCTGTGGAACATAACCTGTTAATAGAGGGAGGTTAATCAGATCTAGTATGGATGTGTTGATTAGGGGAAAGACGTCTTTGAGCAGCCTGGTCGGGATGGGGTCCAGGAGCCATGTTGATGATTTAGATGAAGCAATTGTTGAGGTCAACTCAGAGGGATCTATAGGGGAGAAGTAGTCCAAGTATAAATGAGGTCTTACAGATGTTTCTAAAGCCATTGTAGTAGATGGCACATCTGCGAGAGCTGTGGGAGTGGTCCGACCAATTTTTTTCTCTAATAGTTGTGATTTTATTTGTAAAGAAGCTCATGAAGTCATTGCTGCTGAGATCTAAGGGAATGTTAAGCTCAACAGCACTGTGGCTCTTTGTCAGCCTGGCTACAGTGCTGAAAAGAAACCTGGGGTTGTTCTTATTTTCCTCAATCAGTGATGAATAAAATGCGGTTCTGGCACTATGAAGGGCTTTCTTATATGTTATTAAACTATCTTTCCAGGCTATGAAAAACTCTTCTGACTTAGTGGAGCGCCACCTCCTTTCCATTTTTCGTGATGCCTGCTTTAGGGAGCGGAGCTGCGAGCTGTATTTACAGTTTGAGAGAAGCCAACTGAGTCTAATAATGAACAGAATGCATTGTTGAGGCTGTCATTGTCGGCATCTACATGAATATTAAAGTCGCCTACTATGATTATTTTATCTGTACTAAGTACTAAATCAGACAGAAAGTCTGAGAATTCACTTAAAAACTCTGAATAAGGAGCAGGTGGACGGTATACAATAACAAACAGAACAGGCTTTTGAGTTTTCCAGTTTGGGTGTGAGAGACTCAGGGTGAGACTTTCAAATGAGTTATAACTATGTTTAGGTCTAGGGTTGATTAATAGGCTTGAGTCAAAGATCGCTGCCACGCCACCACCTCGGCCTGTGTTTCGAGGGATGTGACAGTTACTGTGACTAGGTGGAGTGGATTCATTTAGGCTGACATATTCTTCCTGCTGTAACCATGTTTCAGTAAGACACAATAAGTCAATGTGATGTTCACTTATCAAATCATTCATTAACAGAGATTTAGATGAGAGAGATCTGATATTTAATAGTCCACATTTGATTACTTTCTACTATAAGAGGAGTCATCTTAATTTTAATTAGGTTCTTATGAATAACTCCTCTGGAGTTGATTCTTGATTTATATAATTTAGGTGGGCGGGGGGCAGACACAGTGTACAGACATTGTCTGATACAAACAGTCTTATCTGACATCACAGTGTAATTTAAGATCTAATTTCTTAGCGTGAACTTTGCTTGTTGTATCTTGTCAATGTGTCTGTAATACAAACCCTTGCTCCTTCTTCTCCCCCCCCCCGGTATGGCATTAAATGAAAAGGTTGTGACCTCCGTTGCGGCAGATACAATGGGTATAGATACACCTACTACACTCAGCAGCTCAGTTAGATTTGTTAACTTAGAAGAAACGGGATGGTTGCCCGACTCTGGCTCTAACTTACTGGCAGATGCTTTTTCAATCAAAGTCAATTCTGAAGGCTCATCTCTAAATCTGTTTTTGTGTGGGAACTAAATCATCAGAAAGCAGAGCCATGATGCCAAGTCAATATTTGATCTTTTTTCCAGTTCAAGGGGAATGTCAGTAAAATGTCAGTGCTTCACATGTGATCCTCTGGCCTGAGTTTATGTAAATATTTCACAGCGTTTTAATGTCAGTTCCTCTCCTTTTTCCCCACAGTGAACCCTTGCTGTTACTTTCCCTGTCAGCACTGGGGTGTGTGTGTAAGATATGGTGAGGACAAGTACGAGTGTGACTGCACTCGCACCGGCTACTATGGAGAAAACTGCACTATCCGTGAGTCCAGTGGTCCTCATGGGATCATAACCACATTTTATGAGTGCACATTTGAGGAATATGAAATATTCAGTTATCTTTTTGCACTTAAAACTGAAGAGGTCAGATGGTAGGCTGATGAGAGACGCAGTTTCCTTTTGTTGTTGTTAAGTCAGGAAGTAGTGCAGTATTGCCTGGCTCACAGAGTTAGGATTTCTTGTCTAGATCCAAATATTTGTAAAAATTGAAGGAACAGGAGCAGGCAGCTGGATCAGGGCTGCAGCTGCTGCTGCTGCTGCTCACCATTAATGTCTGCCAATCTGAAAGTCCTGGATTATCTTATTGTTCTGTGCTATAGACCTCTGTTGTTATTCAAAAATGATTAATATGTCTCTGAGTGCAGCGGTCTGCTTCCCTGATGTGTTTTTAATAAAGGTCTATGGCACAGAGGAATAAAATAATCCATTGTTGGTTTTAGAATCTCTATGGGAACTGTAGAAAAGAACTGGCCATATCCTTTAAATAATTTGCTGAAATATTTCAAACAAT